CATGCTGCGCCAGCTCCAGAAGGCGAGGAATGTGGGCATTTTGTCATTGAGGCTCAGAGGGTTGGAAACTCCGCTTATGGTTCCCGTATCAAAAGCATCCCCGTTTGTGGACACCCTCAGAAACATATATTGGACATCCAAAAGGGGGGGTGGCTGCATGCGAGTTTCCCGTGAAATGTGGTCGCCAGTCTGAAGTTCCAATGGGATGCGTCCTGTTGTGGAGATGGAAGTGCTGAAGTCAAGTGGCCGCCGGATAGGCAGCCTCCAATTGCAGCATGCCGGAGCTGTGCAAGGCGTCGGGTGCGGGGTCAAGGCACTACAGGGCACCTGGGGGTGGGAGTCACCCCCCAGACTCAAACTCATGACTCACACCTGACAACGTATTCATAGACTACAACATGCACAACCATCTGGAGCCGGCAGAGCTCAACGCTTATTGTATGTAGCCTTGGGACTGCGCAATGGGTACAGGCAGCTTCATAAGCGCACGACCTGAGCTGGGCAACGGATTCATGTGTCATCTTCATTTTGCCGTTTGTGAGCCAGAACTGATGCCAACTCTTTGCAGCTGAGCCTAACTGTTTGGGTGTTTTGGGGAAGTTTGGAGTAAGTTTGGCCCTCCGATTTCCAGGCGTGCATGACCAAGCTCAGCGGACAAGAGTCTGCCTCGGACGGCTCCTCGGCGAAGACACCAGGCGAGGTGGAGCAGTGTGTCCAAGGTGGGAGGGTGCCAGGATGTTAGGGCTTTATGATTTATGACTGGCCCTGGCGTGCCTGGCAGCCACGTTGCGCGTTTGCGACAGCATGCTATCCTGCGGCCAGGAGGGCCCCCTGGAAACACTGTGCGCCGTCGCATCTCGCGGGCCAATTCCCAGCAACAGGTCCGGGGATTTGTGCGCTTGCCGTGGACGGCCGGGCTTGCAGGGAGTGTTGGCAGCGGCGTTCGAACTCGAACCGTTATCATCAAGGGGAGGTTCTCTGAGGTTGGGTTATTACGTTTTGCTGAATGAAATGTTTGGCAAGCCACTCGTGGTGCCAAAGAAGACCTTACTGGTGCCATTCGGGTTTTCGCCAGGTCAGAATGGCTGAGCGATCCGGCTCCGGCTCTGAGCGGGGACTGCCAGTGCTGCTGAGCAAGAAGCGCCTTGGCTGCCAGTGGGCGGAAGGGCTTCCCGATACACCTGCTTGGAATCACTCAACCCGCAGCTGCGTCCATGCCCCTGTTTTCACCCCCCTCGAAGAGAGGAACAAAAAGCAACTGGCAACCTGTGCAGGGAAAACGTCCTCAACAAGCCCCCCTTTCAGACCTTCGCCAGGTCGTCCCTGAGCGACAGCTCGCAGGGAGGAAGCCTCAAGCTCAAGCAGAACATCGTCCGCGAGCCCTCCTCCAAGGCGCCGCGTGCTCAAGGGCTCGACCATGGCCCAGTTTGGCTCAAGGGCTTTTCTTTGAGCACTGGATTTCTGAGCCAAAGCATGCAAGTCGTTCTTTCAAAAGAGGTCAGCTCTCCGATTCAGCCCAAAGAGGCCGCTCAGCGCCGATTGCCGCCGTGCGCCAGGCCTTCGAGTCCGGCGAGAACTCCGACACCGGCAGTGTGGGCCAGCCAGGCAGTGAAGGGGGGAGGGGAGATTGAGGCTAGCTTTAAGCAAAGACACCCATGCATGAATGTGAACCTATTCGTATTTATATATCTCTCTCTCTCTCTCTGTCTCTTTGTCTCTCTCTACATGCACCGAAGCTTGACAAGAGCTTCCATAGCACTGGAACTAGTTGAGTTGCTCTCTTTAAGCAGGCATGCGCATGCGAGTGATCTTTCAGAATAGCTATCGATATACGTTGCTTTCAAAAAGAAGCGGGAACAGAACTGGGGAATTGGACCGGGCCGAAAGTGGCCCGGTCGAGCGTCTTGGAGCGGCGGCACGGTTGCGCTGCTGCGTAACCTTTCTGCGGGCCGACCTTCAAAAGCTCGGCTGCGGACTTTCGATGGGTTGATCTTCTTCAAGACTCGTGTTTCTTGCACTTGTTTTAAGCTTTGCAGCTTGCGCAACTATCCAAAGGTGAAGCCTCTGCAGGCTTTCAATGGGTCGACCTTATAAACTCGACCGATTTTGTTTTGCTTTTATACAATTTGCTTGTGGAACACCCCTAAGAAAAGAGCATGCGCCCCGCTTGGGAGGGCAATGAATTACAGAACAAACTTCAAATCTAAGGGCGGCCAATCAGTGGAGCCCTGGTCTCCGTTCCTTTTCTGGTTTGGTTTCTGGGACGCCAACCTCTACGTTGCGAATGGACAGTACACGGCCCCATGTGATGAGGTGCTATGGAGTCAAGCTCAAGCGTTTGCACGACGCCCGTGGACGGAAGGCAAGGGACACAAGGGAAAGGGATGGATTTCAAACAAGGCTTGGCCGAAACTGTTGCTACTTGGGTCGCCTTGTCGAACAAATGCATGGCCACCGCAGTAAGTGAAGGATGTTGTTTTCGAGGTGTGCCACACTCTTCCCCAGCATTTGGGTGGTGACTAGGGCTTTGTTTGCGCTCCTCCAGCCACGGGTAACATGGCAGGGATGGCGGAGATGAGATTGCGCGCTCCCATGTGCGACTCAGTGCCTGGGCGGCAGAGGTGAATGAACTTTAGAGGTCATCCCGCTCAGCCTCCCCCCCCATATGCAAGTATGGCTTTAGCGAGATTTGCTAATTGCTAAGCCTTAGAAAGCATAGCTTATAAAGCCTTGCTGAGGCTTTCTTGCTGGGGGCCCCTTGAGGGTGACCTTTGCATGACTTCATGATTAGTGGGGGCAGTCCTATAAGCGCCGCCCTCTTTGAAGATTTGTTCCCATGTTTTCTTGTTGTCTTCGTCTTGGTAGGATCCTTTGATGCCAGGAGTTTCCCACTCAGATGGCAAAAGTTGGCTGGCGGTCTTGCCATTCTAATCTCGAAGTTCCAGTCTGGAAGGAACGGGGCCGCGCTCATGGCACAGTGAGACAAGTTTGACCTTGTGCATGCTTCCTACACCTGGTCCGTTTTGCCCACCGGGCCCCGGCCATGACCTTCATGGGTTTGTCTCCCGCAAAAATTGGGCAGAAGGCCGTGCACGGGTGGGCAGCTCCTCTTTGGCCGCCGTCTAGCAGAAGACGAAGCCCAACAAGCGCACGTCCGAGTTTCACATCAAAACCCGGGTAGATGAAGGTTAGTAAGGGACAACCCAGCGATAAATAGCTGCAGATATCCGCCTTCCTAATTCTTGAAGAATGGTTCTGGGATTACGACCATTTTAATACCGGGTTTTGATTATGACTCATTCGGCCGGGACGCTCGGGAGGTTCCGGGAGCCTGCGGGCCTTTGCGGAAGAGATGGCTGAGCTGCGGCGCCTGCTGCTGGCGCACCCCAAGGCCCAGGGCAAGGAGATCCCGAAGCGCGCCACGGAGCTGCGCCCGGGCCGGCGCGAAGTTTGGGGGTTCCGCAGATGGTTTTTTTGTTCTTCCTAAAAGCTTTCCTTCCTTCTGGTTTTTCTGGGTGAGGCTGGTAAGTGTACCATCCAAGGCTGGGGGTCCAAAGAAGGCGGTCCCTCACTTTTCGGCAAGTGTGAGTCTGTGGCGACCGCGGGGCAACTGCATGCGGCTGAGGCTGGAGGATCTGCAGTCGAGCATGATGGAGACGATTCGCTCTGAATTCCGAGGATGCTTGAAGGAAGCGCAGGAGGAAAGACTGGCGCCCCAGGTAGAGCCTGCGACGCTCTCATCTCTTGCTACCGGCATCACGTCGCAGATTCACACACTGCGCGAGGCCGACGCCTCAGTTCGGCTCAGCGTTTTCCTCGCGCCGCATGCATTCTGCTTCTTTTCTGTTTCTTGCTCCGGCTTTTTGCGCTGAGGACCTGATGTCCATGCTGCACAAGGAGAGCACCCCGACCGTCCCGCTCGCCTCCCAGCCCGCCCGCGTGGCCTCGCGCAGCCCCATCCGCATGGTGGGCAGCCGCGAGGAGAGCCCACCCGCGCGGATGGGCGGCTTCAGCACGGAGCCAGTGGCGCGCTTCGACCGACAGGCCGCCACGCCGCCCTTGTCGATGGTGCCCATGGGCTCCGCCCCAAGCTTGGCCCCCGGCGCAGCCGGCTCGGCCAAGCCCATGCAGCGGCTGGTGATCCATGCCTCCACGAGCCAGCTCCCGGGCACCGCCGCCCGGCAAGGAGTCTCATCAAGCTGTGTAAACTTGGGCTGGGCCGGGTTCTGGTTCCATGTTGATTTCCTTTTTTCGAGGTGACGCGCGCCCCTTCACCAAGCGCCTCGCCTTGCTACGTCCTGCCCTGTTTCCGAAGCGCTCCCCAGACCAGGGCGGCGCAGACAAGGTCTGTTTCCCCGCTGCCACGCAGCCCGTTTTGGCAAATGAGCAGCGGGGCCGGCCCGAGCGGTCAAAAGAGATCAGGCGGGATGTTCTTTGGCGTGAGCCATTTTGCGAAGCACCAGTTTAATTCAAAAGGGTCTGAGAGAGGAAAGTTTGGACAGGGATTCGAGCCGTTTGCTCCCACCTGGCAGGATGGTGGGCTGCTCACCAAAATCCGCAGTTGTCGGTGAAGTTCAACAACCGGAGCCCGCGCCCTCGCATGAACGTCTCGTGCCGAGCTGAGAGCCGACACCGACTTTGCCAATTTGTTCTTGCATCCACGCATGGCAAAGACAGAGGCCCAGCACCGCTATTAGCTTTAACATGCTCAAGTTATGGTCTTCGGTGGTCTTCAGGGAATGTGCAAACTGTTTGTTTCGACGCGTGCAATCACTGCCCAACTCTCACAGATCTGAGGGCGTCGGGGACCTTGCTGCCGCCCTCGCCCTGGCAAACGCTCCAGGACGGGCGCGCGCTGTGTGGCATGTGCTGACGCTTGCCGCTCGCACGTTTGACCTGCTTGGGTGCACGTGCTCGCGCCTGCGCGAGCGAGTGATTTTGGCAGGGATCCCGTGATGTGAGGAGCCAGTTGCTTTGGATCCTTCAAAGGCATCGGCAACTGGGCCGCCCACCGCCAACCCATCACAAGCGCCCTGGCAGACTTTCAGAGCGATTTCCCATGCAGCATGTTAGTTTGGTTCAGCCAAATGCGCTTCACCATGTTTGTCTTCACTGGGCTCTTTGGCTGGGGAAGGGGGTAATCAGTAAATGTCAACCTGGACCGTGGGACTAATTTTGCAGGTTTGCCGTGTTGAAAGCAGTGAACTCTTCAGCCCCAGAGACCGCCCTGCCACTGAGGTCAGCTCACCCGACATGCATGCAGTAGAGACTCTCAAGCTGTCACGTGGCAGCACCCTGCGAGAGAGAGAGAGAGAGGGAGAGTCTCTTTGAGCGTGCGCGAAAGTGCTGTTTCGTCCTACGGCGCATGTCGCCTTTTCCCGCATGTTCAGTGGTTTCTGGGAAAGGCATGCGTGTCCTTGAGGTGAAGATAGACTTCTGATCAGCTGAAGGCAATGACATGTTCGGCTGATATTTTTCTTGAAGCCGGCACCATCATCAAGTATGGTTGCTAGCAGGCGCCACAACAAGTAGGCATCATTACAGTAGGATGGATGTTTCTTCGAGTGACTGATCTCACCCAATGGAAGTTGCTCAGGATTCCAGCTTTAAGTGCAGTTGTTTGTTTGCTGCATGGTGGGTGCGCCAGTCACGCATTGCATGCGACGCGTGCGTTGCTTGGCACGTATCTCGCCTGTACTTCATAAATGCAGGGCACAGAAGGCCGGCGTTTGTTTTATGATTCAGGGCGGCTCAGGCAGGTTGACTCGGCCAGTTCTGATCCAAGCCATCTGTGTCAGGTCTCCGTAGGTGTTCCGCACTGCTCCTTTCACTGCCACACAGTGGTACAAGGCCACTTTGTATGTTCGTTTCCCAGTGCAGATCATGCACACCGAACTTGTCCTTGAACAAGGACCACGCTTGCATAGCAAGCCACATGCGAAAGATCCGGGCTGAGCTGGCTAACTGGTTTGCTTTTGAATTTAGCTCACTTTCCGTGCTGCAGGCACGGAACGTCAGGTTGGGACGACCTGGATGTCCCGTGCCAAGCACGAAGCCACACTACATGACGCCCCCGGGAACATTGAGGGGCACTTGTGTTTGACAGGCATCCATTCGGCTGCAGCTCTGAGTCTTGGCACATGGATGCCAAACGCGGAAGATACGCAACACCCATGAGCCTGAGCGCACGACACTTGCAAATGCAAATCACGTGGCCTCTTGCCAGTACAGATGATTGGGGCACGCGCAAGCCAAACGCATTTAGACGGAGAAACCCGACGCTATGCTGCAGCCATGGGCAAAGGCGCAACGTTGCACTCAGAACGCCCCTGACCCGAATATCTCTCTCCGGTGGCACCTGCATGAGCTGTGGCCGCGTTGTGCAGGTGCGGGGCAGAGTTCACGAAGGCGACAGGGAATGCACCGATGCGCAGTGCATATCCCTTGAATTCCCTTGAAGCCAGGTCGGCCAAGCAAGCACAGGGCTATTTGTCCGAAGGCCAGCGGTTTGCGAAATTTGGCCAAGCCACGTGGGCCTTGACCTTCCGCCGCCGCTGCGCCCAGGCGTGCGGATGTACCAAGCAGGGCGCAGCCGCTTCCAATCCAAGGTCCTCCTCCGAGCCAAGGCTCAAGCTGCGGACGGATGTTGACAGGGGCATGGGTAAAAAGTGCACCACCAGGGGACCACAGGTTTTGGTCATTGGTTCCATTTACCAGGGTGCCATTTTGGGTATCTATTTTTGACCCACAGCCACATCATTTGCTTTCTGGTTGGCGCGAAGCGGCATGGCGCCCTCACTTGGTAGAGGGGTGCCCAGCAATCGGAGAACCAACAGCATTTTGCAGGAGCTCTTGGCCTATTCCGTGGCGCTGTCTCCATCGCCGGCGGCTTGTTGCGCTTGTGATGCAGCTTCACACTCGCAGCGCGGTTCCTGAGGCCGGCAGGCTTCTTCTACTTAGGAAATACGCACGCTCCTTTGTCAGCCTGTGACTGCATTTGTGCTTGCACCAGTGGTTCCATGTAGGAAATTTAGGGGGGCTTCGGCTCAGTGCAATGCGTTCTTTACCCTTCGGCCTTGGAGCTTGGGACTTTGTAGGAAGTGGACTTGGGTTGTTCCTTTGTTCAAGCAAACTCAAGAGGGTACCCAAATATACCAAAATGGTATTTGCTTCCGACCAGGCTGAACCTTCTTTCGCGGCCAAAGTCTGCCGCGCGCGCGTACCTGGAGTGCCTACGTTGCTGGCTCGGTCGTGTGCGTCGCGTGGCAGGTGTGTGTGTGTGTGTGCGCGCGCTCAGTCAAACTTGCAAGTGTAGGCCACAAAAAGCCCACCCAGTGGGAGCCGCATTTTGACCGTGTCTCGTGCAAGTTGGGAGCTTATGGCTCAAGCCACGCTCGCTCACTGCGCAGCCAAGACCGGTACGCTAGGTCAGCATGTGGGGGAGATACTAGGCTTATGGTGGCGGAGTTGCGCATGAATGCCACATTTGCCCCCCAAATCCCAGATTACGCCGTGCGTGTGTAGATCGATTCAGTGTTCCCAATGGTTGCCATGACGAAGAGCATCACCACGAAGCTGTGCAAGATCGAGGTGCCGAAGGTCAGGGGCCCTGGCCATGATCAAAATCGCGAGGTCATCGTGTGCTTGAGATCGGAGCCCATTGCCGGTTCACAGGGCGCCTCTTTTCAAGAATGTGAGACATGGTTGATGGCTGCAAAGGAACAGCAAAAGCAAACCCACCACCGGAGGGGTCGCGCCAAGTGGCAAACAGTCAAACTGAAGGCAGCAGGAAAGGCTTCGTCTCACGAGCCCTCCATTGTAGGCCGGGGAATCTGTGGGAGTTGCAACAGGAAACCGGAAGTACACCAATAGGATACACGAAAGCCACAAGGAAGCCAAACAGAAGCTACATGGAACAAGAAACGCAAGGACAGCACCATGTACAGCGTAAAATTTTGGTCCGGTGCCGGACATTCGGACCCTTCCCCTCCCTCCCTGGGTCCCGGTTCAGTCGCAGGTGGTGCTGGGCAAGGAGGACGACCCCTCACTGCCGGTGCCGCCGGTTTGCACCTGGAAGCAGTGCCTGGAGCTGCCGGTCCCCACGAAGCGCTTGGCCTTCCCCGCAGCCCGACGGACGAACCTGTGGTGTCCTTGAAGGGACTGGTACTGTTGGGGCTCCGTGTTGGGGGGTCAGAAGGAGCTTGCCATGATGGCGGCGCCTTGGGAACCCGAAAAGTTGCACAAGTTGCAGACCCTATGGCTGTGCTGCAAGCAGCTCGCAGAGTTAGCGGTTAGTATCCTTTCACCTGTCGTGTTCTGGGGGAGGGGTGATGTTTGGGTTTCTATCCTTCAGCATGTCAGCCGAAGAGAATCCGATGTCTTGCAGCTTGTAGGGGACAGTCCCAGGTGCGACCAGCAGGCCTTTGGATCCTTGACCATTTGGGTAGGCCTCGTTCCTCGTTCTGATTCTGAGTTGACTGAGCCTTGGTCCTTAGGTGCCTCCGAACAGCGAGCCGGGCTGCCTGCTGCGCATCCCGCTGAAAGGCGCCCAGGCCGACGGCGACTCAGCCTCCCTGGGGCTGACGCTGCCCCAGCGCCCAAGACAGATGTGGAGAAGGGGGGCTACTGCCTTTCCCGGAAAGTCAGTGTTTCCTTTTGAGGGGGAAGAAGAAAGCCAACGTGTTGGTTTCTTTTCAAGGTCTGCTTGGACTTGCCCCCCCTTACACGCATCGGTATTTAGGAACCTTCGGCCCGGGGATGCCGCGGTGGCGCTTCAGCGGGACGGGGCCTGGCGGGTGATGCGCCAGCCGAAGCACCTGGCCTTCCTGGTGCCAGACAGCGCCAAGGAGGGCACTGCGCTGCGGCCACAGCTGCCGGACGGAACCTTCCTCCATTTCGAGGCAAGTTGGAGAAAGTTCACTCAAGTAAGACGAAGGAGCTCGAGTCATTCTGGGAGCCTGGATTAGTTTCCATTCTGACGACTCTCCATGACTCATGCTGCAGTTTTGCGGCAGAAGTCTTTTCGGGAGCGTTTGGGGTGGGGGGGAAGGCAGGCATGCCGAGGCGTTTTGGGCTTGAGGATGTCGGAGATGGAAGAGTCCGGAATCATTCTCGGAGCCATGGTCATTTTCTAAAGGCGACTTTCGGGCAGAGTCACAGCCCGGAGGAAGTCTCACTCGGGGGTGTCTCATGTTCGCTTCGGATAAATCCGGAGGACTATACTTAGTTATCTCAGAAGCCTCCTAAATCTCATTTTCAGTGATTAGCATAGTTTTCCCACTGAATCCGAAGTGGACATGGACGCCACCCTTCAAATGGGAGTTCCCCCCAATTGGGTGAATCTCAACCAAGACCGGGTCCCCTAAAATTTGTCCAAGTCTCCTGCTTTGGGCCTCCCTTGAAAAACCAGTACCAATCCAGGACACCGAAGACAAGTGGACAACCACAACAAATGGGACACCACAAGAAGCAAGGGGGACCACAAGAACCAAGGGGAACCACACAAAATGGGGAACCCCAACAACAACTTTAACCAAGGGGAAACCCAACAGCGAAGTCCGGGACACCGAAGGGAAAGGCCCCACCGGGCCACCTCCTTTTGGGGCGGTTCAACCGGCCAGCCAGGTGCCCGCGGGGGTGGCGCCCAAACACCTGGTGGAGTTGCAGCACGTGCAAGGCGGATGGTTTTTGGAATCCGATTGAAGCGGCCTACAATTTCTAAGCAAATAAATAAATAGATAAATATATAATAATAATAATAATAATAATAATAATAATAATAATAATAATAATAATAATGATAATGATAATGATAATGATAATGATAATGATAATGAGAATAATAATGATAATGATAATGATAATGATAGTAATAGTAATAGTAATAGTAATAGTAATAGTAATAGTAATAGTAATAGTAATAGTAGTAATAATACTAGTAATAATACTAGTAATAATACAATATATATATATATACAGCAACACATGCAAGGAATATCCTAACAGTTGAAACATTTATATAGTTCCAGTTCCTTGTCGAAAGTTGACACATTGGTACAGGTCCTCATGTTTGTGCTTTGGGAAGAGATCTCGAAAAGAAGGCCAGATGTCAGGACACTGGTGGATTCCCCTTCAGTTGCAGGCAGTATTCCAACAAATCTTGATATAGGTTGCAGTGTGGTTTCATTGTTTGTCTTCCGTTCTTTTACATGTACATCATTCAATACCAATAATGAATACCATGCACTTGAGCCTTTCCGATTTTGATAATTATGGTTGCACGAAGTAACTGGAGCCCTCCACCATCAAAGTGGACCCTTTTCGTCTTCAAGGTTTTCTACAGCATCGGACATCAGGCGAGAGCAGATGGAATGGCCATAGAACTGGCCAGCTCTCAGAGCAAATGATCAGCGCATACATGGCCATGATACTTCCAATGGTTTGAAAGATTTGGCTAAGCAGTCAGCCAACAGGTATTCCGTTCCTTCTCCCTCCCCCTGCCCCCAAGCCACAAAAACAAAGAGAAGCCAACTCGCACCCAAAACTAAAGTCCACCATCCTCGTCTCCCCACACGGTTTAGATCGGCTTCGGCCCGATCGTCCCAACCCCCCGGGTCTCAGGCAGCCCGTTTTGTGACGCTAGGCATTTGGGGCCTGCAGCGCGTCGTGGAGCTCACCGAGGTCCAGCGGGAGCCCGCCCAGTCGCAGACCCTCACCGGACCTTTCAAAACGGCGCTGGAGCTGCTCAAGAGCCACGTGGGAGCCATGCAGGCGGCTACCACGTTGGCTGTGAATGGGGAATTTGTGTTTGCAGCTGAGTGTCTCTCTCTGTCTTTCATTGTGTGCTTCTTTCTGTGAGCTCCGTTCTTTGTTTCTGCGAGCTTTCTGTGCTGCTTTCTGCGTTTCTGTTTGCAATCTTTCTGTGTGTGTGTGTGTGTCTGTTCGAAAGTTTGCGCGCTTTTCTAGTTATTTCTGCTTTTCTGCGTCTTTCTTTGCGCTGCTTTCTGTACATTGGTGTGTTTGTGTGTGTGTGTGTGTGTGTCTGTGTGTTTTCTGTGTGTTTGTGTTTCTCTGTGCTTGCCTTTGTGTAAACATGTAGTTTTGTTTTTTCTCCGTACTTCTATTTGTGGGCTTCTCTCGCGTTTTTGTGTGCTGCTTTCTGTGTATGTTGGCGTGCCTTTTTTCTGTGTGCTTCTTTCTTTGTGCTGCGTTCCGTGTTTCTGACCGCGTTCTGTGTTTCTGATTGCCTTTTTCTTCCCTGCGTGTGTTTGTGTGCTTCTTTCCATTTGTTTCCGCTTCTTTCGCGTTTCTGTGCGCTTCTTTCTGTGTATGCTTGTGTGCTGTGTTTTTGTGTGCTCCTTTCTGTGTGCTCCGTTGTGTGTTTCTGAGTGTGTTCCGTGTCTCTGATTGTTTTTTCTGTGTGTGTGTTTGTTTGTGTGCTTCTTTCTAGGTTTCCCGCTTCTTTCGTGTTTATGTGCGCTTCTTTCTGTGTTTTGCGTTGCTTCTGCCTGTGTGTTTCGTTCCGTATTTCTGTGTGCTTCTTTCTGTGCTTCTCTCTGTGCTTCTGTTGCTTTGTTCTATGTGTTTCTGTGTGTTTCTGTGTGCTTGTGTTTGTGTTGCTGTCTGCTTGTCTTTGCGTATCCGTGTTCTTTTGTTTTGTTGTCTGTACTTCTTGCTTTGTGCTTATTTCCGTGTTTCTGTACACTTGTTTCTGTGTATGTCCTTGCGTTTCTGCGTGCTTCTTTCTGTGTTAATGTGTGCATTTCTCGGTGTGCTTGTTGCCGTGTGTTTCTTTGTTGGCTTTGTTCTGTGTTTCTGTATTTCTGTACGTTTCTGTGTGCTTCTTTCTGTGTTCTTTCTGTGTTTCTGTTTGCTTTTTCTTTCTTTTTCGCGTGTGTGTGTGTGTGTTAGCTTGTGCGCTTCTTTCTATTTCTGTTTTCCCGTGTTTCTTTGTGTGTGCTTCTGTCTGTCTTTCTGTGTTGTTCTTTCTTTTGTTTTCTGACTGATTGTTTGTTGCGCGTGTGTTTGTCTGTGTGCTGCTTGCCGTGTTTCTGCGTGCTTCTTTCTGTGCGCTTCTTTGTGTGTGCTTTGGTTCTGCGTGATTCTTTCTGTTTGCTTCTTTCTGTGTGTTTCGCGCTTCTGGGTGTCTGTTTGCGTGCTTCTCTTTGCATTTTGTGTTTTTGTGTGTTTCGTTCTGTGTTTCTGCGCGCTTCTTTCTGAGTGTTGCTGTGTCTGTGTGTGTGTGTGTGTGTGTGTGTGTGTGTGTGTGTGTGTGTGTGTGTGTGTGTGTGTGTGTGTGTGTGTGTGTGTGTGTGTGTGTGTGTGTGTGTGTGTGTGTGTGTGTGTGTGTGTGTGTGTGTGTGTGTGTGTGTGTGTGTGTGTGTGTGTGTGTGTGTGTGTGTGTGTGTGTGTGTGTGTGTGTGTGTGTGTGTGTGTGTGTGTGTGTGTGTGTGTGTGTGTGTGTGTGTGTGTGTGTGTGTGTGTTGTGTGTGTGTGTGTGTGTTGTGTGTTGTGTGTGTTTGTGTGTTTGTGTGTTTGTGTGTTTGTGTGTGTGTGTGTGTTTGTGTGTTTGTGTGTTTGTGTGTTTGTGTGTTTGTGTGTTTGTGTGTGTGATTGTTTCCGTGCTTCTTTCTGCGTTTCGGTGTGTTTGGTTTTCTGTGCGTTTCTATGTTTTTGTGTTTGTGTGTGTGTCTGGTTGTCAGTGTGTCCATATCTGTGTGTGTGTGTCTGTGCTTGCGTGCTTATGTGCCTGCATGTGGGTGTGTAGGTGTGTGAGTGTGTGGGTGTGTGGGTGTGTGTGTGGGTGTGTGGGTGTGTGGGTGTGTGGGTGTGTGGGTGTGGCTGTTCGTGCGGTTTGGATGGCTATTTAATTTGGAGTAAATTTGGGAGCTTGTGAGAGTGGCTGGGGTCAGAAGGGTTTATTGTTTGGTACCTTGCATTTGAAGGAAGCCCCGACTAGCCATGACCCACGCAAGGAGTTTGAACTATGGCCAAAAGAAGGGAAGCGCCGGGGCACATTGGGAGAAACCCGCAGGCCGATGATGACGGGATGCTGGTGGTCAACGTGCCCTTCTGCGGGCGGTTCCAGGAGTACGCCATGCTGGGCAACTTCCTGGCAGAGCATTGCCTGCCTCAGCTGGGTTTGCGGGGGGCCCGGATCTTGGGCTGCGACAGCCTGGACTGCTACTACTACGAGTGGGCGGTGGCCAAGCGGTGGTTCGCCGAGTTCCATCCCCAGATCGAGGTCCAGCTGCAGGTGAGGGACCTGCAGCATGACCCCCTGCCGCAGGCGGGTCTCACCATTGCTCTGCACCCGGAGGTGACCTGGGGCGGACCCTGGTTCCCCATCATGGGCTCGGTGATTCGGGCCGCGCAGAGCGGGGTGTGTCTCATTGCCTCCTTCTTCGAGGATGAGGTAAAGACGCTGAAAAACATGGTCGACATCTATGGGGATCCGACTGTGGAATGCGAAGAGGTGAGCAACCCATTTTATGCCTCAACGGAGGGTGATCTGACATCAAAAAGGATGCGGTTTCTAATGCTGCTGCATCCGCCCAAAATTCAGAATGGTGTGACGCGTTTCCGCTGGCTTGGGTCTTTGCTGAACGACATGTGTCAAGGCAAGTGAGAAGCGACCTTGCCAGTGGAACGTGTTCAGTGCCCAGATTCCATGCACGTAGGACTAGCACTTTTTTACACCCGATTTTCATACCTCTTTCCGCAGATGGGAGGCGCAATGCTCCGAAGAGCCTTGATTCAAGACCGTCCACCTGCGATCTAGATCGATTTTGCGGCAACAAAACCTGCCCCGCTGTTTGTTCCTTCGTTCTTGGGTTTCTGGGCGACTTGACTGACCTGACCGTTGCCTCAGAGGTTTGGACCCCACCTCTGCTGCAGCACACCAGAATGTGGCGCAGGCATTCGGCTTGGTTCTGCCTTAGCGCAGAGTGTCAGTTCTTTCCGCTGGCAAGTCCGAGGTGTTTGATGACCTTGGCAACTGGACAGCGGCGGCTCACTCAGACGGGCTGAGAGAGGAGAGCTTCCTGCGGAGGATCCCAGGCCAAGCATGCGGAGCAGCGCCTCAGGGATCCATTGAACCAGCCAGTGGTTTGACCAAGCCTTGCCCAGTGACCCACCAGGCCGGGGCCTTGGATGAACCAAGGCCCACGCCCATTACCACCATTGGGCGCTGCTGGAGCCCAGGCTGCGGCGCGACCGCAAATGGAGGGCCATCGGATGCGCGCCAGGTCTGCCAAGGCCAAGAAAGCCCTGGCGCTGTCGTACCTTTGGGCCCGCGGCTTGCGGGAAGTGCCAGGATGTCGTGCACCTCATGTTTGAGTTGATACATCGGGTATACAATACACACTGTGACATGAGCATTGATGACATGTACATTTGCAGCTACGTTTGGATTTGCTCGCACGTAGAGAGAGAGAGAGAGAGAGAATTAGCCGTATGAAAAGCATACAAAGGTTCTGTCAATGGTTGCTCGCGAACCAGGTGCCATTGCCCGCTTGAGGCGCATTCTGAGCGGCTTCAGGAGGGCAGCCAGCTCTGCAATGAGGCACACGCAGGGAGACCGAGTCGGCTGCGGTTGGCTGATCTGCGCGCCGCGTTTCCCAACATGCGCCTGCGCTCAAAGTGCGAGTTTCGCCAGTGGTAGCTGTTGCCCTGGTAAAGCTACAGACCCCTCTGCAGTGCCAACAAAAGGCACCGAGCCTAAACTGCTCACTCTCAGCGCGCAACTGGCAGGCTGCGGAGCTGGAGCCCGACCCATCAATACCGTTCGACTGTGTGGCGGCCTTGGGCATGCTTTGGGCGCAAGGGGGCCAGGGCTGCTCAGACCCCGTGACGTCAGGCGCAGTTGCTGGTGCTGTTGCTGCCGCCCAGTGCAGAGGCAGGCAGGACGTATCAAATGTGTTTGTGGCAGGCTTGCTTGCGTTGAGCAGCAGCGCAGCAAGTGGACGGGCAATGTTCGCAGGAGTGTGGATCTTTGAATGCGTTTCAAAGCGGATTTCGCACAGGCAATCGCCAGCTTGGCTTGTTCCCTCAGCACTGAATTTGCCCACTAAAAAGGGACACCCCCCTATTAATCAACCAGGGGTTTCTCAATCCGGGGTTAACATTATGTTCAACAGCCGCAGGACCGCCCCACAATCTTTCACTAAGACGGCTAACACCCCACAGCTGCCGCTGTGGAGCGCGCGCAAGTGGGCGAGGAGCGCCCAGGGAGCGAGTTCTGCGCTTGCTTCAGGCAGAACTGATGGACCCTGGCCAAAGTGGGGCGCCCGGCCACAGTGCCAAACCCTCCTGATGAGCGGAACTTTGTGTGCAAAGCTAGTGGAATCTGTGGCGTCATCGGTTTTGAGGCCCGTGGGAGTTGGCTGACCCCAGCAGCTCCCATTGGCCAGCGCCTCAGAGATGGTTTCCTTGGAAGGTTCCGGGCGTGCTCTTGGGCACTGCTTGTTGGTTTCCCAGCATTGGCCAGATGCCGAGAAAAAGACCGCTTGCAATCCGAGGATGGCTCACATTGAGCCGAAGTTCCGTCGCGCCCAGGACTCGACCACCGAGCCAGCCCCCAAAGGCCGCAAAATTGGGCAACCGGTGTTTGAGCATCCATGCAGCGGCTCCCTGCGAATGAGCGAACTATTTGGACATTGTTAAGCAACTTTGTTCGCTGTTTTGCCTAACCAGCGAAGACAAAATGAAGTGACGAAAAGGAAGTGGCTTCCTTCACGCTGGAAGATGCACGCCTGCGAGAGCGGTTGTTGTGAGCTCGGGCCAGCATGTGGCGCAGGAGACTGCTTTCAGATCTTGGCCGGGCCCTGCGCACGTGTGGCAAAGCCACTGATGGCTGTTTTGAGGCGGGGAGGTCCCAGGCCGTTGCCATGGAATGGCCAGGCCTCATTCGCGACTCCGTTTGGGTCAGGGGAGGGAGTGAGCCTCTATGTGGTGGTTGGTTGAAGGACACCCCAGAGAAGATAGAGAGACAGAGATAGACAGACAGACAGACAGACGGACAGACAGAGAGAAAGAGAGAGACAGAGAGACATGTTTTGGCACGCTGGCAATTTTGCCTTGCTGGCTGTTGATGGGCCTTGCGGGAGCAATGAAGGCTGCGGCTTTGTGGTCGGACACGCCGACATTGTGCCGCAATGGGGGATTGGCGTGGTGCTCAAGGGATACTGAAGGTCGACCATGTGACTCTGTGCGCTTGCTGGTGGGATGCTGGCCGCAAGGTCGTTCGTGACCCGCAGCTCATGGCAGATGGCGGCGAGGCAAGGGCCTTCCGTTTGCAGCGCGGGGGTCCCCACGTTTTTCTGTCAGGCCTCGCTCGAGCTGTCCAGTGGCCCCGGGCTCACACCGGACCCATCGGCTCAAGCCGCGCCTATCCGCGCCTCGACAAAAACCCAGGCGGCGCAGTGTATGGCCAGCGAGTGCCTCCGACTTTTGGGGGTCCCTTCACCTGGGCCGGGCAGCGCTACTTGGAGCGGAGTGTCCGTGGGAGGCTCGAAGCCGCGCGACCCGCCCTTCCAGGGCTGGGCTCGCGCGCTTGGCGTGTTGGTCGGTGCACGAGGCTTGTCGAGGGTCAACGACGTGATGATCAGCGGCAACGAAGGTGCCCGGGGCTCTTCGAGTCTATGATCTCGTGCTGGAAGTCGGAGAGGAGCTGCACGAAAATCTCAGCCTGAGGTCATCACCAAGGGGTGCCAAATCCTGGTGCCCTACTATGACAAGCAGGTGCCCTGGCATGAGCTGGCGCCCCGGACCCGGTTTGAGCCTGTTAGGGGAGCATCGTTGGATCCCAGGAATCTGCCACACCGTGCCACTCCGGAAGGGGTGCTCTGGCTTCCGGTGGCGCTGCGCACTCAACTTCGGCGACTTGTGTCGTCGGATTGGGTTGGAGTTTGGGATTTGTTTATCGTTTTTGCCTTGTTGTGTGGGGATTCTGGCCACTTAGCCGCGATGTGGCCACACTGGACAGGTTGTGGCTGTTGGTCATGTTCCCTGCCAACTTCTTCAGCTTCCTAGTGGATGAGCTGGCTCGACTGGCCGTGTGGCTGACAGCCGCTGGCTCAGGCGGCCTTGCCATTCTCATGCCATTTTCTGTTTGGCAAGTACAAGAAGCCTATGATTCCTATAAAATGCTCAATGCGCCAAGGTCAGCAAGCAGCGCATCCCCCTCTTGGCTTGTACCTCGGTCGAGCCTCGTTTTGGAGGGCCGCAGCCATGTCTCATTGCGCACCGTTCGACGACAGAGGTTCCTGCTGATCGGGGCACCTTGAAGTCCTTCATGTATGACTGGTTCACACTACTTGGAGGCACGCTTCTTGTCTTTTTACGTATCGCAGCAAGCTTCAGAATTGCCCCGCGAGGATTCGAAGTGATTCCATATGATGCCGACAGCTCGCGCTCAAGGTCGTGGTTTGCAAGCATCCGCATCACACCCAGGTCCGCCCACACTTCATGGGAGCAGCCCGTGTTGCGGAGCCTCGCTTTTTGGTGCGAGAGCGGGCGCCACAGGTTTCGGCACAGTAAGATGGCCCATGCCGCGGTATGAATCCGCCAAGCCTGAGGCTACATATTGTGGACTGGTTTGCCCACGGCTCAGCAACGACTTGGGAGAGCTAGCGAACAGGAAAAAGGACGACGGCGCACAAGGCTTCTCCCGAGCTTGGAGCGAATGTTTCGTAGCCCAGGATGCCCCTAGCGCTTCAAGACGAGAGGACGTGTTTCTGCTGCCACCGCGCTGGGCTTTGCAACAGCTGCGCCTTCCTCGGCAGTCATCGGCTTGGCACTCGTCTTTGAGCCGGGCAGATTCTGCATATTATGGAAACCTGGCTGTCGGGGTTCCTCCTAGGTTCCATCATCTGCTGCTTGTATTCTGGGCACGGTTTTTTCAGGGTATGAAAGCGCCCCAGCCAGGGATCCCGTGTGCCCAAGGCGGCAGCTGGCAGTTGGCCAAGCGGGGCTGGCAACGCCCGGCGAAGGCAAACTCGCGCGATGACTCGCACGAGACAGCATTGTCCTTCTATGCTTTCCGATCTGGAAGTGGGCTATATACCAGCCCAAAACTACACCTTTCAGAAGACACTGCCATATCGACTTGTTCGCGTGCAGAAGGACAGCGGCATGAGAGAGCGCTGCACATCAGGCGCAAAGCGCCTGCTGTGGATTCAGAGGAAGACAGCCAGCACCCTATGCATCAGCACTTCGACAGGTGTCGTGCCACCCACCCGAATGTCAAGGGGCCGGCCTGCCAGGGCCTCCTCAGATCCAACTCCTTTAAAGCAAGAGCCGGGGAATTCCTCGCAGAGACAGGCACCTGGGTGCCTTCCGGGTGGCAATTGCAAGGCGACGACCCGGCGTGTTACCAACGAAGAGGCATTGTTGGGCGCCCTCGTGTCCTATCTGGGCCCAGGCTAGGGGTTTGGGAGTTCACGGGAATGGAAGTGAGGATTTGAAGGCTGCATTGCAGGGATTCGCACAAATCAATGCAACATAAATGTGCTTGATCGAAACGGGCGGCCTGTTGCCCCCACGGACGCATGTAGGTAGTATGCTTAGCACCTGTAAGGCGACAGATGCAATACAATATGGGTCGATAGATGTGGCTCGTCCAAAAGCTCCATCAAAATTAGTCAGGAAGGAGCTGTTGATGATTCCTGCACGTGCGACTTGCGACATCTTGGTGTGCTGCGCGCAAGAAGGCGCAAGGGCGAGCGCAAGGTTTCATGAAGTTTGACCTTCTTTTGAGCAAGTATTTTCTTTCTTGTGTAAGTTCCGGGACAAGACTTGGACGCATTCGCCTGTGTAATTTTCTTGGCAGCAGGCTGGCGCATTGTGTTCGCAGCAATCTGCGTCCAATTGTTGTGTCCTGCTGCGTGCAACTTGTGGGAAAGTCTATTGCATATCCACTCACATGGAACCACAAGATAATGGTCACACACAATGATTGTTGGGTGTACACTCGTTCCATGTTCACTGCTTGGAGAATCTAGGCCGTTTGCCGTTGATGTGCTTTTGCCCAGCTTTGCTGGGCAGGAAGGTTGTCCTTACCTGCCTCAAGTTTCGGCTCCGCGGGTTCAGGCGCAAGAATAGCTCAAGGTTGGCGCAAGGTTTAACAGTCCCAACCCTGGCATGCTTCCAGTTGCCCAGCTGGCGGCAGTGCTGGAGCTGTCAGAGTGTACATCGCGTACTGCACTTGCACCGAAAAGTTTCGACTTTCGAGCCGGAGCTGCCAACGTGCACTTCGAGCACTACGCCAGTATATAGTGCGAAGCTACGACTTCTGAGCTGGAGTTGCTAAAACGTACTTGTACTTTGCGTACTATGCTTGTGCTGAACAGCTGCGATTTTTGAGCCGGAGCTGCGAAAGTGTACTTAATTGACCGCACGTGAAAGAGTGGGGCGAAAGGGTAAGCACAAGGCACCAGCATTTCAATTCAAAGATACAAGAGCAGAGCGGGTAGATAGGTTAATTCAAGGGCAACCCCCAGAGGCGGACAATAAACAGTATGGTCTGCTCAATGTTGTTGACACTTCCCTGTAGCGACGACGACTCACGTTCGCGGAAGGGTTTGTGCTAATTTGAGAAACGCGCGAGCACGGAGCTGGTCGACACCACCAGCACTACAATAGACTAATTTGCCGACATAATGGCCACCCAGTGAAAGTAGGGTGAGTAGCCAGCATCTCGCCACCAATCTCATGGGTTATGGGCTCCTGTTTGAGGTGGTGGTTTCGGGGTGGTTTAAACTCTTCAGATGGGCGCGGCAATATTTTCCTATTTGGCTCCCCTTGGCAAGGTATCAGTCAGAAAACATCGCCCCCAGAGCAGAAATTTGGACAGATCAGCAATACTTTTTACATCTCAGGTAACCCTTCTTCGCCCTTATAGGCAAATCACATAATTACTCAGGGCCCGGGAGCAAGCTCCAGGCTGGCAACTGGAGACCTTCTCTGACGTGCCGCCCGCGCTGGGGTCACCAAGAGCGGCGTTAGAGGGGCTATCTATCCTGGTACTCCCAACGTGCAAAGGCGCCCTTAACGGGAGGAAGCTCGCCTTCCAAACAAAGGGATTCTGTTGTAGGTCAAGGGATGGGTGATGGTCGGTTTTATGACCAGTAAAAGCTCCATCAGTCCCCCAGTCAATTTGGGGACATGGATAGGGAATGCGGAAACATAGAAAGATTGTGCATCGGTGATCTCAAGACAACTGTTAACGCTTCCTTGTGTTGATTCCATGGTAGGCCGAGAGCTGAGGCCCAGTGCTCATGAGGCCGTACGTCTTTTCCGCTCAGCTGACGTGGTCGTGGGACTGTGGCTTGTTTGAACACAGCAGCACCGCAGTTATTGCAGCTGCGGAATTGCCGACGATTTCGGTGGCGAAGTCAGGCATGGGTCCGGGCAAGCGAACATCGTGTCTCCCACTCAGCTTACGCTTGAGAGATGGCCAATTGGCGTTGGTATGGCTCCAAGGTTTTGCAGACCCGGCACCGGCATTGTGGACATCAATTTGCGCTGCTCCCAAGAACAGGGCCTCCGAATGCACGAATACACACGGTCTGTTCAGGCACGGGTGCAGCTAGGAAGGACGGATGTAAGTGTCACTCCCCTTTGCTGCCAAGATTCGTTTCCGCAGCTTCAAGTGTGCCCATTGCCTCACTGTAGCCATTTGTGTGGCGAGTTGGCTCGCTTGGTCGCCCGCACGGTCACTTTGCTGCTGTTTGAGCCATGGGCTTGTGCTGTGCGACCAGGGCCAAGCCGGTCTTCAAATCACAAGCGGCAGCGTCCTGACGAACATTGTCCGTTCTCGTTGGTCTTGGCGTCATCCTCCCGAGTAATAGCAACCTACATCCCCCCCCACTTATTTCCCTTGCACTCCGTTTGAGAAGACGGCCATCCCTTTGCCTTGGGCCGTGCTTGTCTTTCTCAGAAGGAGCTGCGGGAATTGAACTCCACGTAGTTGTGGGCAACCTCCGCCACCCAAGCAAATCCGTAGGGTTGTGGATGCAGAACAAGCGTCGGTCGATCAAGGCGAGCATTTTCGCAGACTACGACCTCAATGGCAATGGCGAGCTGGAAACTGGAGAGCGGCTTGGCACGGCCCAGCCGTCCCACAGCGTTGGATTGTTTGGTCTTTTTGTTTGTGTGTTTGTGCGCGTGTGTGCGCGCGCGTCGGTGGGTGCTTGGGTGCTTGGATGCTTGGGTTGGTGGGCCGGTGGGTGGATGGGTGGGTGGACGTGCGCGCGTGTGGGTTTGTGGAGTGTTTGTTTGTGTGTGTGTGTGCTTGTACGCGTGAGTGTTTGTCTCCTGGCTGCACTAGCTCCCTTCTGCTTTCCTTTGGTAGTATCTTAGAGCGCATCCTGCCCTGCTGGTGCTATGCACGGCCGTTTTCGGGTCACTGGATCTCAAAACTTGGCTCAGTTCGAAACTCACTCGCACAAGGGACGCATTTCCCCTTCACTTCCTCTTTGTTTGGAGTGTGTCAGAATCAGGGGCCATTTCAACTGATTGACCTTCTGCTTTGTTGCCTGGTGATTCCTCCTTGAAGGTTTTTCCTTTGATTGGGCCCTGACCGTGCCATGCCGCAGGCTGAAGATGTTCTTGCGGGATGCGTTCCCAGGCAGGGATCAGAGGAGGGACCTTCCAAAGAGGGGAGAGACATGGGTTTTGGCTCAAAACGGAGGAGGCCCAGGAAATTCTGTTTTCCCGTGCTGTCTTCTTATGTGAAACCTCAAAGCCGTGCCCCAAGAAAGATGCACCCACATGTTTGTCCCACGCACCCACCACCCACCCACACACACCTACCCACCCACCCACCCACCCATCCCCATCCCCACCCCCACCCCCACCCCCACACCCACGCCCACGCCCACGCCCACGCCCACACCCACACCCACACCCACACCCACCCACCACCCACCTGGTGGCGCAGGGGCAGGGCTATCCGACGAGGAGATGGATGCTCTGAGCAAGGAGTTTGACGCCGACAACACTGGGACCATCGGCATCAACGAGCTGCACGCATTTCTAAGATGCTATGATCAGGAGTCGCAGTCGATGATCAGAAAAACTGCGCCTTGCTTTATGATTCAATTCCTTCGGCATTATATGTAGATGCTTCAATTGGCAGGTTCCGCGTGCATATGCACAAGTGTACACCCAGCCAGCTCACATGTGCATGGTTTTTTTGGCCATGTGTTTGCATTGTGCCGGAGTGTGGCGTGTGGTGTGTGGGTTCGTGTCCTGCAGGCGCTGTTGGTTATAGATGTCCAGAACGACTTCATCAGCGGCACCCTGGCGGTTGAGGGGTCAGAGGCCATTGTGCCCATCATCAACACTATGCGCGATAGCTTTGATTGCGCTCCCTGACTTGAGTAGTTGGGTTGGGCAGTCCAGGGCTCAATCAATGAAGCACTTCCCACGCGTGCCAACGGCCCAAGACCCTTGGCAAGCCATGGGCAGCTGTTAGGGGCTTGGGCATTGGCTGGCGGGCAGTGGGTCATCTATCTGCATTCGCAGATCCAGGCTGTAAACAGTAAACAAGTCAGCAGGGGCAAGAGGCGCCGCAATCTGAGAGGCATCAGTAGCCCCATTCGGCCACTTTGGCATCAGGTTGCCCATTGGCGTGTATGTTTGGCGGTTGGCTCAAACTCGGAACTCTTGCCGAAGTCAAAGACTGAACGATGAGTCTCAGACTCACCATTCTCATCAACTTGTTAGCTTCCTGCTGCCAGGTGGTAATATCATACGACTGGCATCCTTATGAGCACTGCTCCTTCGTGGAAAGTGCAAATACTGGAGTCGTGCCACTTCTAGAGATGGAGAAGCTCAGAATGCACAACTTGAGCATGTGCGAGTATGTGTTTGCAAGTGCGGCGCGGATGGTGCGGCTCAATCACCCACTGAGGAAGCTGGGTTCACTGAAGCCTTTCAGTGAGGCTTTCTCAGCGAGCATGCGCACAGATGCCATTCGGCTGCTCGTAGATGCGCGCAGGTCACGTTGAGATCGGATGCTGACCGCAAAGAGCACACGCAGATGCTTTACCCGCGCCATGCTGTTAAGATCCTTGGCTTGAGCATCGGGCCATTGGTGGCGCTTGCACACTTGTGTGGGCCGTCCGTTTTCCTGATGCCAGGAACACCGAAGGCAGCAAGTGCCACAGCGACCTTGTAATGAAACCCGAGGATATGTCAGCCTCCCTGCCGCACATACCGGCTTGCAAGAAATGTCCAGTTTGCTGCATTGCTGGGCTTCAGGTATTCAAGGGCGTGAAGCCCAACATCGACTCATACTCGGCGTTTTTCGACAATTGCAAAGCCAACGATACTGGCCTGACCAAGCAGCTGGAGTATGCTGGAGTCACCGATGTGTATTGCCGGCCCCTCAATTTGGAGGAAGCAGCATGGGTCAAGGGCTGGCCTAGCCTTTTTGTGCTTTGGGTATCTCCCCCTTGTCTTCAACCTCAAATGGGAACCCCAGAAGTGGATCTTCAGGAACCAGCCCGAAGAAAATCAAGCATTGGGCAGACTTGACTACCCCAAGGTAGACGTGTGCACCTGGCATGAGCCACGTTTAGGTAGTTAAATGGCTGTGGGTCAAAAAGGGGTACCCTAATGGAACCCTGGCAAATGGAAAAATGGACCAAAACCTGCGGTCCCCTGGTGGTTTAATTTTGACCCATACCCAAATGGAACGCCCGGTAAGGCGTCGGGTTGGTCTTCGACATTTGCGTGAAGTCCTCGGCCCTGCACGGGGCCGAGATGGGCTTCCGCCTCTCCGTGCCTCGGCAGAGCTCGAGCGAAGGGCGCAGCGCGAAGAGTTGGGACCCGAGCCCTGGCCCCATTGGTTTATGTCGACGGGAGTTGCTGGGTAGGTATGAGGATAGCGTTTGGAGTCATGAAGCCCATTTCCCACTTGTAGAAGGGGAGCCGATTTGCGTGTGGATTTGTTTCTGGGCAAGTGCAACCAAGGTGGTTGAGGATGCATGCAAGCCCTTGAACCAGAGCGATGTGGAGCCAACAAAGGCCACCCTTGGGAAGGCACGCGATGCGCGCATATGTGCGCATAACTTGCCCACAGCATGGCGAGAGGTTTGATACTGCGCTTGCTGAACACGCTTCGCGAGTGCTCGAAACTTGCCGTCTCAGATCGTCTCAGTCTTGTTGCCGTCGAAGTTTTCTGGTTGGGCTCGACGTGCAGGCTGGTGTTCGGGTGATGTCTTCGAGCGAAGCGATAGAGGAGGCGAAGCAGATCAAAGCAAATCCGAAAATGGCGCCCTGGCAAGCAAGCAGGGCATGGCATCCTCGACAAATTTATCGTCAGGGTCTGCCATGCTTCGCCTGTGGGCAATGCCATTTGCTTGTTACGGACAAAGGCTGTGCGGGACTACATTCACCACGTGAAGGTTCACAAGCGCGCGGCAGCTTTGCATAGGTCTGAAACGCTGTCCTCCCACCGGCCCAAATGACAGAGGTGCCCGCTGCATGCACCTCCAAAACGCGGTCTGCTCAGCAGGCGTCCATGACTTCTGAAGGAAGGCTTAATGATGTGATCCTGCCAAAGTTGCACTGAGTTTGGGTTTTGCCCCGACGCTTCCATACTCAAGTTTGAGAACGTGTCGCGGCCATCACGGCTGGTTGATATTGCGGTGCAGTGGCTTCGAACAAGACATTCTTTGGGTGGGGGCGCAACCTGGCATTCAGCAATTGCAGACAGGCCGTTGTGAACAAATGATGCCGTCCTTAGATTTGCTTATGTACAAATATGGTTGCAAGCTTGCCGGAAGAAAAGGGCCGTGCAGAGGGAGAGGAGAGAGAGAGAGAGAGAGAGAGAGAGAGAGAGAGACAGAGGGAGAGGGAGAGGGAGAGAGAGAGAGAGAGAGAGAGAGACAGAGGGAGTCCGAGACAGGGCTGAGATCAGGTGGGCAACTACCCGCATGTTTCAAAGATGAAAGTACTTTAAATTTATATCGGCGTGTTGGTCATTTACATAAAGTAGAACAAAATATTAATTACACTTTATAATGATCTTATCCTTTTTACCCTAGCCCGAACACATCAGAAGTGTTTGTCAGGAGTTGTACTCCTTTACGATTTGGAGGGAGAAACCCAAAGGGATGTGCTGAGGCCAGAGCCGCACTCGCAGTACGCAGCCCACAACAGTGCCCTGGCAAGCGTTTGTGCCTGGCGATTCCATGGAATGAGACCCCCTTGGATCCCCTTGGGCCCTTGGGGAACCTGAGCTTTTGGTTTCCTTTTAAGAAATCAAGGTCTCCACGGTAACGAAGGGGTTGCGCTGGGCATTTGTGGCGCTTCCTCCCGCTGCAGGCTATGCACTCGGCTTCGTGTATCGCCTGGTGCCCCTCTCGACTTGGGCATTGGCCTTTTGTGGATGCACAGCGTGCCGCTTTGGGGGGACGACCTCTTGGTTGGCTTGAAAGAGAAACCAGCAAGGGATTTCACGATCTGAATGCTAAGCACGCCAATTCTTACGGGCCGACTTTTGAGTGCGTTGCTGAAGGCACTCGAAGGCACCATTCCCTGCAGCCCGCTTGCGAGTGATTTGGGTGTCGGGTCATTCGTATGAGAGGGACTGCATGGCAGGTGATGCTGAGGGGCGTCGGGCTGCACCAAGCGGTGAACATCACGGTGCCGGTGGAGGACGTGCTGGATGCCCTCAGGACGGGTTTTGCTTGGGCAGAGGGGGGCATTCCCTTCTGGCCTGGATGGGAGCAGCAGGCCCAAGGAAAGTCAAAAGGAAATCAAAGAGAAAACGAGCTTAATGAAGCTGGAAGGAAACCCAACAGACAGCGAGCATGTGCAGGGGTGGTCATTGGGGAGAGCGAAGTAGTGACTGAGCATTGGGCGGGCCCCACGCAGGAGCCTGCCAGGCATCAGAAGCTCAACGCCAAAGCAGGAGGAGCGGACATGTGATGGAGAAATGAACGACCGTATGTGCTTCAGACTGGGCAGCCTATAGACAGGCAAGCATGGGAAGTCATGAGCTGGCCATGCTGCACAGCCATCCCCCCAACGCAGAGCATCGCAGAGCCCTGAAATCCTATAGGTCCTATGCTTGGTCATGCTTGGTTTGCTAAGCTTCCGTCGCCGGGCCATTCTCAAGCACCTTTTTGTTGCCACCAGCGCTTTCCCAGTCCCAACAGGCGAAGCCGAGGCCTCAGGACCCGTTTCAGCGACGACAAAGTGGGGCAATTGCAGTGGGCAGGCCTGTAAAGATTCGTGGCAGTCCAAAAGATCTTTCGATCTCTTCTCTCCACTTGCTCGACGTTTAGAACAATTGTGTGTGTGTGTTGTTTTGGTTTTCTTTGCTTCCCGGTTGTTCAGCTCGCAGCGGCCCCTCGAGGTCCTGAGGGCCGGGCCTATGGCCTTCCGAGCGCTGCTCGCGCGGCGGCCCCGGAACCGAGGATGCAAACATGTTGGGAGCGGATGTCCAAGAAGCTGCTGCTTCGGGGTTCGGCAGACATGGGAATGATCCGTTTGCTCAGGTTTGACCAGGCTGATTTCGCCAATCAACTTTCAATCTACGCCTGGTCAAGCTTCAGCCAACCTGAGCCGGAACCAAACTGTCCTTAAACACGCCGTCAATCAAAACCTGCAGCGGCCTGATGCACCTGAAACCAACTGAAGCAACCCGATGTTATTGACCAAGCCCACCCCTTTTTAGCCCGACCAAACCCACCCCTCGTTAGCATTCATCAGCCCTTTGATTCAAGCCTAAACCCATCCTAAGCACGCCTAGACGCAGCTTTTACATGTTTTGCTTACCCCAAAGTCAGCAGAAGCCAAGCCTAAATCCACCCGACACTGTTCCCAGCCCCCAACTAAATCGAATTGAACCCGAACCCTAAAAGCAACCCTATCCGGACCCCAGGCCATCTCGAAACCCACTGCCCAAAGCCCAAATTGATTGGCGCAAGCCTGGGAACCACAAACCATTCCACCGCTCGTCAGAGATTTCAGTTTGTTGGTATCCACTGATTGGGAAATGATATAACGAATTCCCCCAACCGTGTTCACCCCAGATCATCTGATCCAGGTCTAGGTTTGAATCCATCAAACTTCTTTGGCCGCACCACCCGTACTAACAAATGACTCTGGCCAGAATGATCCGCAGGTCCTCACCGGAAAGTGCGATCGTCAATTTGGGTTTGAGTTGGACTTAAGGTGCCGCTTGGCACTTTGCTTGGCCGTGCCTGAACAACTCTTCACTGACGACTGTGCCGAAGGCGAGCAACGCGCGCGTCGGTTTCGGCGAGCGATGTGTCCAGGGTGTGAGGTGCTGGGCCAACATTTTCCTGCGGGATCCAGAGCCAGAATCAAAACTTGGGTAAGTAGAGGTTTGCAAGGGGCAGTCCGCCTTAGTTCTTTAAACTCATTTTTAATAGCGATCGGCTTTGGTTGTTAGTTCTGGACACCTCGCTGCGGCTATCACCCCGTTGGTCAGGTTCGGAGTGCCACGTGTCGCTTCGGCAGCTCCGTGGAGAGCGCCGGGAAGTCCGGCTACATAGCGGCTGGCCGTGGGGCGAGGGACACGATAGAAACACCCAAAACTTATCGGTCTGTTTGTTGATGCCACTTTTGTTGGATTTAAAGCAATGCCAAAAGGAAACCGACCAGATTGAGGGGTCACACTACAAAAGCAAGCAAGCGTGCAGACACACACACACACACACTCATTTATACACTTACGTATACGCTCTTTACCCGCCCCCTTGAATTCCAGAAATTCTGATTTGGAGTGTGCAAGCCACATCAATCCTGGGTTGCAGTCCTTTCGAGCGAGCGCGAAGGTCCCGAATAGATTCCCCCCAGTTGGGCAGTACTTGGCCAAGATGGCCAAGGAATGGGCCAAGGCGGCTAGGCAAAGGTTCCCAGTGGCTCTCCAAAAAATTAATTGGCACACAGGTTCGCCGTACTCATACTGGCACATCCCAGGTGCCACAGTTGACTATCCTTTGGCCAATGACGACAGCATGGAGCAGACCTACCCCATGACTGATGCTGCTAGCGGATATTGTGCCTTCCCTAGCGAGCGCGAGGACCCCGAGCTCGGCTCTGCCGACCTGGGTGGCGTGTGCGCGATGGCGCTGAAATATGCAGGTCATAGAGCTGCCGTCGGCACCGAGTGCGCGACGCAAACCGCTTGCACCCACTGCAACGGAGTATGGTGCAACGGCAAAGTTGAGGCACTCCTGCAGCAGGCCGCAGGTGAGCCCGATGAGGCTGCGAGCAGTGATGAGTTGCCTGGGGATGCGTTCCCCTTGGCGAAGGACGATGACAAGCTCCACAACTGGCCCATGACAGATGCAGCAGATGGCTTCTGCGCATATCCGAGCGAGCGAAGTGATCCAACACTTGGCTCTGCAAAACTTGGCGCTGCGCCCATGAGCGCAGAGGAGACGGAACAAGTCTGCGACATGGCCAGGAAGTACGAGGGCCACAGAGCTGAGGTCGGCTCCGAATGTGCCACGAAAACAGCCTGTGGCGGCTGCAATGGAGTTTGGTGCAGCGGAACCATGAAAGCCTTGCTGCAGTCTGCCGCTAGTGAGCCCGATGAGGCTGCTGGCAGTGACGATTTGCCTGGGGATGCGTTCCCCTTGGCGAAGGACGATGACAAGCTCCACAACTGGCCCATGACAGATGCAGCAGATGGCTTCTGCGCATATCCGAGCGAGCGAAGTGATCCAACACTTGGCTCTGCAGAACTCGGCGCTGCACCCATGAGCGCAGAGGAGACGGAACAAGTCTGCGACATGGCCAGGAAGTACGAGGGCCACAGAGCTGAGGTCGGCTCCGAATGTGCCACGAAAACAGCCTGTGGCGGCTGCAATGGAGTTTGGTGCAGCGGAACCATGAAAGCCTTGCTGCAATCTGCCGCTAGTGAGCCCGATGAGACTGCTGGCAATGACGATTTGCCTGGGGATGCATTCCCCTTGGCGAAGGACGATGACAAGCTCCACAACTGGCCCATGACGGATGCGGCAGATGGCTTCTGCGCATATCCGAGCGAGCGAAGTGATCCAACACTTGGCTCTGCAAAACTCGGCGCTGCGCCCATGAGCGCAGAGGAGACGGAACAAGTCTGCGACATGGCCAGGAAGTACGAGGGCCACAGAGCTGAGGTTGGCTCTGAATGTGCCACGAAAACAGCCTGTGGCGGCTGCAATGGAGTTTGGTGCAGCGGAACCATGAAAGCCTTGCTTCAAACTGCCGCACGTGAGCCCGATGAGGCTGCTGGCAGTGACGATTTGCCTGGGGATGCGTTCCCCTTGGCGAAGGACGATGACAAGCTCCACAACTGGCCCATGACAGATGCAGCAGATGGCTTCTGCGCATATCCGAGCGAGCGAAATGATCCAACACTTGGCTCTGCAGAACTCGGCGCTGCGCCCATGAGCGCAGAGGAGACGGAACAAGTCTGCGACATGGCCAGGAAGTACGAGGGCCACAGAGCTGAGGTCGGCTCCGAATGTGCCACGAAAACAGCCTGTGGCGGCTGCAATGGAGTTTGGTGCAGCGGAACCATGAAAGCCTTGCTGCAATCTGCCGCTAGTGAGCCCGATGAGACTGCTGGCAGTGACGATTTGCCTGGGGATGCGTTCCCCTTGGCGAAGGACGATGACAAGCTCCACAACTGGCCCATGACAGATGCGGCAGATGGCTTCTGCGCATATCCGAGCGAGCGAAGTGATCCAACACTTGGCTCTGCAAAACTCGGCGCTGCGCCCATGAGCGCAGAGGAGACGGAACAAGTCTGCGACATGGCCAGGAAGTACGAGGGCCACAGAGCTGAGGTCGGCTCCGAATGTGCCACGAAAACAGCCTGTGGCGGCTGCAATGGAGTTTGGTGCAGCGGAACCATGAAAGCCTGAAGGCATGTGTGAACTTAGCGGGTTCGCGGCCAGCGATTGACTTCTTGTAGCATCCATGCGCAAACGTCACATGGATTGAATGTGTCAGGATTGCGTGCAGAAATGTGTTGCATCTCAGTTGCCATTTGGTTTGAGTTGTTGTGGTGCTTCTGAATGGATTTGCCAGTTTGCAAATAGTCATGGAGGAGGAATGAGCATGTGCTGCCAGGAGATGTTTTTGGATTAGGTTTGTCAACACTGCTTTTAGGCAAAAGACAGAAAGTCAGCGCATCGGAAATTGGAACCTCTTTGCAAGATAGCCAAAGCCGCAGCACCAGGCCTCCGCAACGCGCGCAGTTCTGGCCATGGAACTCAAGGCTTGAGAATCAGCACTTGGAGAAAGCGCCGGGAGGTCGACATGAGATTCAGCTTCAGCTTGGAGTTGCCTGGGTTACCACCTGGGCTGACTTGGTTTGACCGGATCGTGCTGCTGTGGCTGCATCAGGCAGGACTGCGGATCTCACAGCCTCTGCCCAGCGTCGCATTGGCGCGGATGAGGCGCTTGAGACCACCACTGGCTTTGGCAGCCGCGCTGCTAGCAGTTGCATTCGCTTTACAGCTTTGGTGTGTGGTGGAAGGGTGGCGCTTGCTGTCCACGGTGTCTATAGACTGCTCACCCCTGCGGGAATGGCTCTTCGGGTACTGCACGGCCTTGGCCGTGGTGCCATTTTGCTTTGCCATTGCCGGCCCGATGGTGGTGTGGTGGGCGGCGGCTGGCAAGATCGTGAGGGCGTCACTGACTGCGGCTTCCCAGGACAGCCACCCGGACTTGTGCAGCTTCGTGGACCAGGCGGGCTGACGTCGTGAGCGGTTGGGACTTGAAGCCAGGGTCATACGTCGTAGCATGTCATAGCCATGTGACTCCATGACCTACCCCTCACAGCCCTGAGGTGGGCACATGCAGCCTGATCACCTGCATGCTGCTCTTCCTTGTGGTGCTGGTCCGGTCCGTGCTGAAGAGGAGGGCACGGAGCTTCCACGCCTGCTGGTGCCAGTCGCGGCCCGTCTTCGCCGAGGTGGGGTGCACAAGTAGTTGTTTTCTTTTCTTGGTTTAGCCTTTTGGGAGGCTTGTCCCAGTTGAGACACACCCATGGTTGTAGGCTTTTGGGATACTAAGGGAGTTGAGGTGACTCAAGCAGCCATAGTGATGAATGCCACTGATGAATCACACCCGCAGATTTTCGAAGAAGCAGCTTCAAGGAGCCCCGCAACAGTATCATTCGTAGAGGGTCTCCATCCGGGGCACCCCCAGAAGGCGGTTCCTCCGTTACGCTAAGGTCTTCCAGCACATTGAGGCCCTGCGCCCCGCAGAGGTAGTGCAAGGCACCGAGTGCTCCATTTGCTTGTGTGGCGGAGGATCATGGCAACAGCTGCCTTGCAAGCAACTCAGCCAAACCTGCCCATCTGAAAGGCCGATCCCGTCCCCCTTGATCTCATGTGAATTCCATGTTGGACTGGAGAAGTGGAATTGGAACCTTGCCCTGGGGATCAGCCAAAGGGACTCTGGATCTGACCTTTTGGTTTGCAAGTCTTGGTTTGTGTTTGCGTTGCGCGACCTGTTGTAAGTGTCCCCCCAAGCTAGGATTTTGAGCGGCCCAAAGAAAAAATGGCCATTGGGCAAGTGAGGCACGTATTCCATCGGGGCTGCTTGCTGCGGTGGCTGAGCCAGGCAAGGCAGTGCCCCTTGTGCAGGCTAGACCTGCAACAAGTTTACGAGCCCATGCTGCATGCAGAACTGCAAGGCGGAGGTGTGACACGTTCTTCCCCACAAATATGAAGTATTGCTGATTGGCAGCGCGTTGTTTTTCCGACGACGCGTGCGAAATTCACTTTGGTCCGTATGCTTTGCCAAGGTCGGGCATGCTGGGGCATGACAAAACATGCCACCATCTGTCAGGGAATGCAGGAGGATCGTTTGAATCTTCCATCTTTATGTATATATAGTTCCCTCGGGCAGGATGCAGTGTCCCAATTCTTCAGCCGCCCCGAACAGGGGCGTGCGTCTTCTGGTTTGCTCACGTCGCAGCGGACCTTCGCTTTTAATTACTCAACAGCGCCAACTTTTTGCCCCGGCTCTGAATTGAAATGGTCAAGGGAGGCATGGTTATGTTCTGAGAGCTTGGGCAGAAAGGGTTCTGCTGAGATGTCATTCATGCCAGACAAAGACGGAGTGAGCGCATACACGATCCTTACACAAGCAGGCACGGATGTTGCATGTTTTAAAGAAGAGCTGCTTGGGATCAAAGGGCACACCTATTCGCCAGTCGAGGCGTAGCCTAATCAGTACCTTTGAGAGAGACGTGCTGAGCTTCGTTGCACAACGCGCGCCTGGGATTTTGCGGAGCAGATGGCATGGGCAGCGCTGGGTCTGTGACAAAGCGATTTGGCAGCAGCCGCTTGGCTGCCTTTGCAGCATGTGTGGCTGTTCTTTTTGAGTTTGGCAAGTCGCCTCGGCTTGGCGCTTAGGCGCCGCCGGGATCGGATCGGCATTGAGGTGTGCGGGGCAGCCGGATTTGTGATGACTTGGAGCTTCAGGAGAGGGAAGCTGACTGGAACTTCGGTCGAGGCGTCAAGGTTTGCCAGAGGCCTGGCCCATGTTGGGGTCCTTGACTTCCAAAAGGCTCAGGCCTGTTGATTCATTTGGGCATGTTGGCCACCTGCTCATCGACGGCAAACTCCGGATTCCACCCTTTTGCCCATTTTGGCAGCCGGGCGGGTGCCAATTCTGTGCTGGATGGTGCACGCTTCCGCCGCGAAGCTTTGGAGGTGCACCAGTCGCCTGTTTCGCAGCCCGCGTGAAGGAGCTGCTGAAGGGCTGGCAGCGGCTGGGAGTCAGCTTCTCCGGCGTCATCCTCCAAGCGGAGCACAAGGAGACGGTCAAGGAGTACGCAGCTTGACCCACAGCGAGTTAAACTAGTGCTTTCCCGTCCGTCGGATGGCATTTTTTCCCATACCCCCCCCTACGCTTTTGAGCACTTTTTAAATACACCTATCAAATTACACCATTCAAAACCACCAAATTGAACAACCCTCTAAGTTAATCATTAGAACATTATTTTTCTAATGATTAACTTCATTTTTTAGTCCAATTTATCACCATCAGCCTGATCAACTTTCTTTCTTCTCAAAGCTGGATTATACAAAGGCATTGTCATTTTGAGTTCTTGTATCCTCTCTTGACCTTCTTGATAATATTTGTCCTTGAATTCTTGTGTAGGTGCTTCTTCAACTAATCGTTCATAATCTGCTTTCAAGTGTTTGAGTATATTATCTTGGTGACAACCTCCAACCAAATGGAAGTCCCAGATGTCTGGGTTCACTCTTCTTTCACAAGCATGACAATACAAATATCCATTATTCGCTGTTTTCTCTCTACGCTTCTGATTAATTTCCTCGCGATTTGCTTCTAGATACTGTTTCCGGTATTCTTTCCTCTTGTCTACAGTTCGTGTCCGATAGTCCCGTTTTTGATCAATGCATTTATCGCAATTTTTGAGGCCATACACGAAACTATCTTCATCTTTCTCGTATCTACATCTTGAACACAGTTTTTTCTCCATACTATAGTAGGACACCTTGCCTTTAGATGGCTACAACCCTATTTTCAACAAATTATCACTCCCCGAAAAATGGTTAACCAATGGAAAAGGGAGAATTAAAACCGTTAACCCAAATCTTGAAAATAATCTGTGTGACATTGGATGGCAAAATGCGGATGGGAAAGGCCTATGTAGGAAAGCACCCCCACGGCTTATACGGGAAAATTACACTATAATTATAACATATAAATGTTTACATGTTATAATTATACTATGGTTTTAATCATCATCATCTCTGTATTCAAGTAATTTAAATTCTGGACATTCTACAAATTTAGTGTTATGTGCAAAACACCTTCTACAATATTCATTGTCGTAGATGTATTTAACAACTTTATTAAAGTCTCTGATCATATTATTGTAATTAAATTTTGTTCCTTCGCAACAATAAGCTATTCTGTTAACATCATTATTGTAAATGCCTCTATATATGTTTCTTAATATGCTTATCTTGTCAAAAGAGAACTTGAATTCTACTTTCAAGTCTTGTTTGTCAGGAAAACTATGACAGCGAGAGAATAAGTAAATATATTCATTTATGGCTGTTCCTCTTTCGGGGTTTTTAACTGCCATTTTTCTCCTTCTCGTTGACTTGCACCCCTCGCATTCTTCATAGTTAAATTTACACATGTTATTGATGATATTACTTGACAAGTTTAACTTACTTAACTCAACTTTCTCGTCATTTAACTTACAATAGCAGTCAGCAACACGTTTATCAAATATGTTTAGCATGTCATTTGTATAGATCTTATTTAAGAATTCATTCATAATTTCCTCTTGTTCAATCTCAGTAAATACTACCATTCTGATGCTAACATATATAGGTAATATTTCTTTAAATACATTTTCAGAGAAATTATAATTTATAGAAATATTTTTACCACTATAATTACAACATATAAGATCTTACATGTTGTAAGTATAGCAAAACTATGGTATCAAAGGCTTTAATCTATGTATTTCCAGGGGTTGTATTCGTTTCTTCTGTTCCTTCCTTAACTCTTTTGTTGCTTTTACTTTGTCTCTGCATTCCTTACATGTTTTGTAAAATATCTCTTCCATTTTAATTCTGTCATACATTTTGTGAAAGTCCTTTCTTGGCTTTGCTTCGTCGCATTTACTGCAAGGATAAACCATTGTGCATCCTGTTTCTTCTTCATCATCTGTAGAACTCATAATATTAGTTATGCCAATATGTCTTTAAACGGATTTTCAGAGAAAAATGTTTTCAATCAAGAATAAACCCCTGTATCTTCATCATAGTCAATTTGATAAAATGTCATAGTTGAAGCCTTCGGTTCTTTAATTTCTTTGTTATTAAGTTTGTTTAAATAAATATTTCTTTTATTTTTATATTCACCATTGGTTCTATCTACTTCTTTACTTTGATAACTGTTTGTTAATGGTTTCTTCTTTTCCATTTCTTGTAAGATTTCTAAAATATTCTTATTCTGTTCTA